GAGAGAGAGAGAGAGGAGAGGAGAGAGAGGAGAGAGAGAGAGAGAGAGAGAGAGAGAGAGAGAGAGAGAGAGAGAGAGAGAGAAAGACGAAAGGGTATTGTGAACAAGATAATAAAAAAGTGAAAAAATGTAAACGTTTTTACTTTCTGTAGTGATTTTGTATGTGCATGTTCACACTAATTAGAGTTCACCTTTAAGTCCCATCCGTATGATCATCAGTGGACGGCCGTAAGGCCAAGTCCACCATAATCTCATACACCTTCGCATACACGATCGTCCAGGCCCCTTCTAAAATTTGCAATGGGCCTAGCCCAATTAGTTTTGGCACCCCCACTTTTGTTTGAAATTACCAACTCAACACAGCCTACACACCCCCCCCCCCCCACCTCTGGGCCTAGTTCAATATCTAAACTTGGGCCCAGCCTCCAAAAAATGCCCCCTGTTTTACTCAGTAGTTCAAAATCACACCCCCAAGCACATTGGGCCTAACCCAGCCTCCTTTTAGCACCCCCATTGTTTACTTCTTAACAAGAAAATGCACCCGCTGGTTTTAATTAAATTAAATTATTATTTTTTTACTTTTAATTCCATTTCTTCCCATATTATTTATTTATAATTATTATATTTTTTATTATTATATTATAATTATTAGCTATTAACTTTATTTCCTTCTTTTTTAGATGCAAATATTATTAATGAGGTATATATGATTATTATAATTCCCTTCTTTACATAAATATTATTATTCTTATATTTTATTTATTATTTAAATGTTACTATATTATCAAATAAATTTATTTTGAAATTACATATATTATTTTCTTATACATTGCATTAAATATTTTTTCAATCATGCATTAACCAAGAATTTTTGCAGTTTACACGATTAAAAAATACTAACAAATCTCAAACTATTTTTCGTAATAAACTAAACTAATCAACTATTTTTGCAAATGGGTTTCAAACTGGTTTTGACTTACTACAGACACAGTCAAAATCTCCGCAATCACTACTCTCAACCGAGTGCGAAGTGATTCAAAATATGCTTGCAAACCCCTAAAAAACACCAACCCAATACGAACTACGAATTGAGACTCTGATTCCTCATAAGAGGATACGTAGGCATACGATCTGAAATCATGGCGAGTCTTTCTAATTAAAACTTAAAATCCAGTTTACCTCAAACCTAAACCTAGAGTCTAATGTCCTTGTGAACAAGGTGGATGAAAGGTGCCTAACACCTTCCTTTCGTCCAATTGAGTCCGAAACCTAGAATCTCTGTCCGCGAATTAGGGTTTTCTGTTAGGTTCCCTTCCCTAGGATAAAAACTAATAGTGACGACTCTGATTTAAAAACTAGTTGCTACACAAATATGAAGAGATAAGGTCTAAGAATCAAAACCCCAAACTTTTCTTCCTCTTTATCTTTCCACGTATCTTCCTTTTTCTCCTCTTTATTTAATCTTCATCTTTCTCCTCTGTATTTCATCTTCACCTTTCTCCTCTACTATGGTCATCTACTTAATCCAACCGAAATCTACACTCAAACAAGAATTAAAACAAAGCAGTGAAAGAATCAATAAAATACTTACCACAATCCTACAACGACAGCATAAAAATGAAACAAATCTTAAGTACAAAAATAATGCCACCACCTAAAACAGTACAAGATCGTATCATGAATCACACTTAGAAAAAATTTATCGAGGGATGAAAAACACAAAAATGTGAGGATTTGACACTCATCTAACAATCTTACAAACAAAAGACTAAATTATGTATTCATCTAAAAATTCACATTGAACATACAAAGGCAAGAATCACAAGGGCTTTTCAAGATTGTAAGGTGGCTTGGTTAACAAACAAGGGATAATTCCTAAAGCTAATCGAAACAAAAACTTGTCTAAACCTAAGGGAGTGACCAACTCACAAAGTTTCAAGCACAAAAATTCCAATTAAACTTCTTTTTTTAACCCAAGTGTTACACAAAACAAATCTTACTTATTAGCACAATTATTTGATACTCTTTTTGTTTTTTTCAATTTTTCTTTCTTTTTCTTTTCTTTTCTTTCCATTTCTTTTCTTTATTTTTTATTTTCTTTCCTTTTCTATTTTTTTTCTTTTCTTTTTAACAACCTCATAGCAACCACAACATAAGTAAGCAAACATTCATCTCCCCAACTTGAATTCAACCAACATCAAAGTGTGAATACTCCCTACTTTCTAAGGCAAGGAAAAATAAAACCATAAATCATGGTTAAGGGTTCAAGAAAATAAAGAATCAACATCCATCCAAAAATGTGAACTAAACACTCATAGACAAAGATCAAGTTCAAAAACAACATGGACATTGACAAAAAGGGCTCAAAGGGGTTACAAATGTTCACACACTCACAAGGTGAATTGACTATTTGGAAAGATAGTTGTGCTCAAAATAAAATAAAATGCCTTGATCCTTTTAATGCTTTTATACAATCAATACAAATAATAGATTAAACATAATAAAGTCCAGTTAAAACAAGCATTGTGGCCTCCAACATATATAAACAATGGAAAGCTTCCTCACATTTGAGGTAAAAAGGAACTAAAGTGATTCAATAAAAAAGCAAGTAATGCAACAGAATAAATGACATGGAATTTGTACAAATGAAAAGTTTCCTAAACATGTTATGCTATAGAAAGTGATAAATGAGTATATAGCGTCTACCAACTTCAAACAATATCATTATCATACATCTACAAGTTGAAATGGTCAACTTGAAAAATCACCTCAAACTTCCTCAAGTTACTCAAAACAAGCTCTTGGACAAACACAAAAATAACAAATTAAAAAACTACTATAAACATACTAAAAGACCGAGCGAAATTGAATTAAATAAGTTGAAAAGTGAAGATTTGAGAATTTTAAGAACTAGTCCAATTTCAACTTGTTTAACCAATTCATCACACTACCTATACTAATACAATAAAAGCAATAAAGAAACTAAAAAAAAATAAAACATGCTTGTTTTACGTCATAAGTTCGACGCCTGTTATTTATACACACTTCTATAAGTTGACTTTTTACACGGTTAGCGCTCACCGACATCGAAACCTAACCAAATACTTAGCAAACATGAAGAGAAACAAACATATACACTAAATTTACAAGTATTAAAAACATGTAAAATTCACAAGTATGGTGAACATAAACAAATAAGTGCACAAGTATACATATACAATTCTAATTACACAATATAAACAATATGAACATTATGTGAAAAACTCAAAAAATAAAGAAACTATTGTAATGCGATCCAATAAAAACACCAATCCCCGACAACAACGTCATTTTGCTGAAGTGGTAAAGCGGTAAGCAAAAGTAAATATTTATTTAGTTTTATCATATCGTCTCCATAAAGATTAGTTCTAATGAATTATCGTTTGACAAGTCTCTCGTTAATGAGTTTGGATTAAAATGGGTTTAAAGTAAATGCGGGAATTAAAACTTATGAACAGAAAAAGAATTCAATCTTCAGAGAGAAGAAACTTATCAGGTATGTATATAATCCACTCGTCACAAACTTAAACCGTTCGACCAGTTATACTCAACTTACAATCTCATCAATGTCATCACGTATTAACCACAACACCCACTGTATCATCTCAGAGGCGATCTCTCAACCAACCTTAATAACACAAAAGACAACAATGTTACTCGCGTTGACGATATCTCATCACAACACAACCAACACAGAGACATTAAGCACAAACACCCTCTTGTAACCGGCAAAAAATAAGAGAGTCGCCACCACTACTTATTTGTCTCAAGGACGGGAAAAGAGCGGAAAAACCCTAGTTGTTTAAAGATTACTGGATTCGTGAATTGATTAGTTAAAGAGAAGGTGTTAGACACCCTTTACCTTCCTTGTTTTTTAAGGGGATCCTTTTTTAGGTTTAGGACTTAATGGAATTTTTTTACTTAAATGTTATTACCATATGTATGAAAGGAAAATATTTATTTATTTAGTTAGAGGACTCGCCTTAATTTTTGAACCGCGTGCCCACGTATCCTCCTGCGAAGAAATCAAAGTCCATTTTGTAGTTCATATGTTTGGTTATTGTTTTTTATAGGACAATGTAGAATTGCTTTCGAACACTCCTTTAAACTTTGCTTAGGTTTGCAAGCTGAGTGATCATAGACGCAATTAAAATTTAATTTGAAAGAAATGCTAGTTAATTCTTTTTTGAAAATGATCTTGAATTTTATTAAGTTAGTAAAAAACTGTTTTGTAATTGGTTAACTGTTTTAAGTTTTGATGGATTGAACAAGAGTTGATCTTCATTTGAATTAAATCGCGCTAGGCAAAGGAATTCATTTGATGTGTTTAAGAATTCTTAGATGTTTTGATTTAGATAATTAATTGGTAAGACGTCAAGCCAACCAATCGATTGTTTGAGGATGTGAAATCTTATTATTTGTAAAAAAATGTTTGAATTAAATTGATTTAAAAAAGTGTTTAAAATTAAGTACATGTTTGCTGAAATTAAATTAATTAATTAAAATTAATTAAATTAGCTAAAACTAATTAGATTAATTAAAATTAATTAAATTTACTGAAGTTAATTTTTCTAATAAAACAAAATTAATTAAGCAAAGCTTAAAATATAACAAAATGGGGTGTTAATTAGTAAAATAAGGTGTGAAGTCGGTAAAAGGAATGAAATTTACAGCCCAAAGCCCACATTAGAATTAACGCTAAATCATGATTATTATACACAATAAAAGAAAAAAAAGCTGGTACGATGATGAAGGGGGCCGTCTAATGCCTCAATAATAATATTTCTTGGCTTTTTAATTTGACTCTAATATCCAATAAATAGTTGACACGTGGCTTTTTAAAGTGTCCGAAATTTATACTCAAACAAGAATTAAAACAAAGCAGTGAAAGAATCAATAAAATATAAGAAGGGGTTGCGTCAATCGCGGTGGAAGGATGCCGCGGGATGGTGGTTGTGCTGTCAGTGACATTGCAAGGACGGAGGAGTTTGTAGCTTCGACGTGCTTGAAGCGGCGGATTGTTTCATCGATGATGAACATCGGTGTGCTATCTGGAGGAACTCTTGGCGCGGTTTGACGGAGGCTGCTTCGTCGGTTTCGTCGGCATTGGTTGCGGACGGGTCTGAAAGCTTGAGGTTGTTTGTGTGTGGAGCTCGTGTGAAGGCTCTTTTTATAGTGAGAGTGAAATTGTAGGTGAGGTTGGATTTGGATGTTAGGATAGCGTTGATACCGTGTATATTTGCAGGTTGTTGAATTGGCATGAAAAAGGGGTTTAGTAAAAATGTTTCTAGACACATTTCTAAAATTTAATTTGTTTTCAAAGTTTTTTGACGTAGAAGCAATTAATTCGATAAATCATCTAAAAGAAAATTCAAATATATAAATTATGAAAGATAAATCTATGAGATAAAATTGAGTAATTGATTAATACAAACTCAAATAAACAATCAACTTATTTATTGTTTGAACATAATCACTTTGCAATGCTATTTCCAAGGCTAAATAATCAAAGAACTAATTTAATCATTTTATTAAACACTTGACGTGTGTGATCGGTGGGAATAGAACTGACTGTTTTGGAATGCTGGTTCGCGTTTGCGTTTGTTTTCGCAAAATATCGCGGTAAGCAAGAGTCGCCACTGTCTTTTATTTTATCCAACAAGGAAAGGACAAAAACACAGAAAAATTTCTTTTTGAGATATTTCTCGGGTTCGGGAGGTAGATTATAGAAAGAGAAGGTGCTAGCACCCTTTCTATCTGTGGTTATCCACGGGCTCTTAGGTACTTGCTCATTTGTGTTTTCAAAAGTTTGCTTTTCTTTGTGATTGTGGGTTTGAAAAGAGTTTTTGTTTGAAAGGGGTGTAAGTGCGAAAAGTTTTGTTTTGTTTTAAAAGGAGCAGGTACTTAAGAACATCTACCTACTCAAAAAGGAATTAAACTGTACAAGTGTCCTTTAGACAATGATATCCCACTATTAAGGAATAGGTAGCATCGTCGTTGGAGTTTTCGGGTCAATTCGATTAAGGGACGTGTGGTCACCAAAGCAATGTTAGGATGCCTTAGTGGTAACCCTAATGTCCTAGATCATTTTATCCGAGGCAACCGTTTCGAGGCAACTTATGATCTTTGGACGAGAGGGCGACCTCTAAAACTTCCTATACCCAATGACCACATTCGAGGCAACCAAGTGAAGTGTACCCTAAGAGTGGCATGTGCGAGTGTATTGTTTTTCAGTTATATTATCTTTGTACATGTTAATGGTGAGCTACTGTTGATTTTAAATTAAAGGTTAATCTTGTCATGCATTGCCTATTATTCAAACATCTAACAGTTAATGGTTGCGGAAATTAAATTGCAGAAAATAAATCTAAGCTATTACAAGGCGTCGGGTATTTACATCGCCAAAGACAAACCCTTTTAAAATTAAATTGCGAAAAATAAATAAAAGCGATAAATAAATAAATAAAGTCCTAAGTTAAAAAACTATTACATTCCCGGAGCAATTACAATATTGACATATGGATCAAAAATAATTCGCGCGCGAGAAAAATTAAATCGGAGTGTTTTAGGGTTTTGACCCTTTTAAATAAATAAAGCATATTTTTGTTATTTTTGAATTAAAAATTAGTCTAAATTAATAATTAAATTAATTAATTAAAAGAAAAATAATTTTGGTTTTTTTATTTTAATTAAGGAAATAAAATAAGAATGGTTAAAAAATATTTAAAAACCTAATTCTAAATTAATTTTAATTTAATACAAAAGATATTAAAATTATGCCTAATTAAAAAACTAAATTAATTGATTAATGTTTATTTACAAAAATAAATAATAAAATTAATGAAATTAATAAAAATATTATTTTTTGTTTCTGATTTTTTATGAAAAAGTTAATTGGCTAATTTTTGATAATAATAATAATAATAAATAAATAAATAAGAAAAAGAAATAAAATGTAAAAGAAATACTCAGGGGGGTGTGGGCCTGAAGAGATAGTATGGTTTGCAATTCTTGGCCCATTAACACCAGCTTGCTTTGACCCTTTGAGATCTAACGCGTGCTTGTTGACCAAGGAGCATGGTGGTCCTTCAACTTTGGCCAATAGATCTGCCTGGTGGGCCACTTGGCATTTGATGAGATGAAGATCATGGTGATCCACGCTTTGGGGCACTGCACATGAGTACCTGAAATAAAATTGCATAAAGTTTTGGGGGACCTGGGATTCAAACCCAGGTCCCATTGGTTTTCCGTCCACCTGCTTGCCAACTCAACTAGCGCGTGTTTTTGTTATTAGAATAAGCAATGAATATTATATGTAAAAATAATCAATACGCTGTAAACAAAAAAAATAAAGCGCACGGGATTTGAAAGGACGAACGGGAGGGAGACGCGTCAGCGTCTTCTTCATTGAGCCACTGGTTTCTTACCTGCGGATTTTTATCGCAGCAAGATCCGTGGGTTCTTCCTAAAATCACTTCCAGGCAATATAAATGCAAACTAAAATCATCCCCATGCTCGTTTCGTCCTCGTGAGTCCATCCATGGTCATGGCTTGCTCCAATTTTCCCTGTAACTCAAATGCCTAAAAATAACACCCATAAACCCTAGATTCGGGCATCGTTATGCAGGCCATGAAAATCAAATTAAATGATGCAGACTTGTTAGAAATTTGATAAGGATCAAGATTATGCCAATAATTTATCAAAAGGATGCAAGAATGAATGGTTTCGATTTCATGTTCAGAGCTGTTTTCAAGAATACTTACAGCGCTTTTCAGATAGCTTCAGGCCTTGGCTTTGGTTTCTATAGCTCTAGGAGGTTGCTGGCAAGAGAGCTACGTTGTGATTTGGGATTGAATTGGCCTCTAATGTTGTTTTCGATCTCCCACTTTTCAAACTTTTTCACCAACTTGCTCTGGCCGTTTCAGCAGTGTTCTATGCGTGTTCTAGGTTTGGGTGACTTGTGTGAGTGTTATAGAATGAATTAGGTTTGGTCTTTTGGTCTGAAATCAAGTGCATTGAAGATGGAAGATTGGATTTTGATCACCATAACCAAGTTGCCATATTTGCATCAAATCTGAGATTTTGTGCATGTTTTGACTTGGCACGAGTTTGATTGAGTTGCACATGATATTTGCAAGCTGTATTGATCACAAGAATCCCCTTACATCAATTTTTAGATTTTATTTGATTTAATATTGATTAATAATGAATTAAATCAATAAAAATGAAATAAAATAGAAAAATAAATGTTTGGTCATGAAATTAAAGATGGAACACGTGTGTGGCATGACAAGACTATATCAAGTGGAAAAAAGTGGGCCCTTTTGTCAAAAATTGGAGTTTTAAGGATAGTTGACTTTTGGCAATTTTGGAAAAATGCCCAACTTCAACAATGCATAACTTCCTCAATTTTGAACTTTTGGAGGTGTTCTTGGACTTTTTAGAAACCTTGAGATGTCCTATAATCAACCATTTTGGTCTCATGTCATTTTGATCTTCCATTCTCAAGTTATAAGCTTTGGCAAAAAAGGTGTTTTTGTTGACTTTCAAAAATGACATATAATGTCCAAATTTGTAACTTTTTGTGAGAGCATTTCTTGATCTTGGGGTGTGAAGATGGATTATAGGAAATTTCATCCTATTCAAAATTAGATTTGGATGGGTCATTTCTCATAAATTATGAGAAAGTTATGCTTGGTCAAAATTGAGTTGACTTTTCCTACAAAACCCTAATTTAGCAACTTTTGAATCTTGATGAATCTTGAGCAATCCTTGATGAATCATGATCAAACCTTGATCAAATGATGAATTATCCTTCAAAATGAGAATGTTGAAAAAAATATTGAGGTTTGACTGTATTTGGGACACAATTGACTTTTGCCCTAGCACAGTCGATTTTTGGGCCTCTTGAGCAATTGACTGACCAAACTTCCTCTGCAAGGCTTGAAATTTTACCTGGATGAACTTAAGAACATATTAGGACATTGGGGAACACTTGAGGTAATTTGTATGTGAGGACCTTGATGCAACACAAAACCCTAATTTTGACTTGACTGCCTTAGGAGGTGACTTGACTGTCCAAACCTTGAGCCAACTTGAGCAACTTGAAGCTTCTTATTGACAAATCTTGAGGAATATGGGAGGGCAAATTTTAGGGTACAACAGTTTCCCCTGTTCAATTTTCTTAAACCTGAGGATATAGATTGGCTTTTGAGCCTTTCGTGATCCGAAGGTGGAAGATAATTGAACACTAGAGTGCCCAAAAATTTGCACTCGCATGGTGTAGTATCATCGTTGTGATGTCGGGAATGGGCTTACAGATGCCATTTGGAGATTGTTGGTAGGAGGATGGGCTTACAGATGCCATTTGCAGGAGTTTCGATCGTATAAGAGATTCCTTAGCGAGAACTTGCATACCTGTGGTTGTAAAAGATTCCACTGGGGAAGTCTAACCTTTGTTGAGATTTAGGAATCTGGCCTGTATTTCAACTGAGAGAATGACTCGGCTGAGTTTTGAGAACTTGTCCATAATTAAACTTGGGGGAAACATCTTCATCAAGATCTAGGAATTGTCTCGTGCTCAACGTAGTATACCGTTGAGGTTATAGAACTTGTCCACACTATGACGGAGGAAAACATCAAGATCTAGGAACTGACTCGTGCTCAATGGAGTATACCGTTGAGGTTATAGTACTCATCCACACTATGACGTAGGGAAACATCTTCATCAAGATCTAGGAACTGTCTCGTGCTCAATGGAGTATACCGTTGAGGTTATAGAACTCGTCCACACTATATCGGAGGGAAACATCAAGATCTAGGAACTGACTCATGCTCAATGGAGTATACCGTTGAGGTTATAGTACTTGTCCGTACTATGACGTAGGGAAACATCTTCATCAAGATCTAGGAACTGTCTCGTGCTCAATGGAGTATACCGTTGAGGTTATAGAACTCGTCCACACTATGACAGAGGAAAACATCAAGATCTAGGAACTGACTCGTGCTCAGTGGAGTATACCGTTGAGGTCATAGTACTCGTCCACACTATGACGTAGGGAAACATCTTCATCAAGATCTAGGAACTGTCTCGTGCTCAATGGAGTATATCGTTGAGGTTATAGAACTTGTCCACACTATGACGGAGGAAAACATCAAGATCTAGGAACTGACTCGTGCTCAATGGAGTATACCGTTGAGGTTATAGTACTCGTCCACACTATGACGTAGGGAAACATCTTCATCAAGATCTAGGAACTG